ATATAATCCCTATAGAGCCTCTCATCCACACTTTCCCCATTTCATTAATTGTTCTTCATTTTGAACCTTTTCATCTGGTTTCAATCCCAAGCATGTATGTTATATGCATGTTATGTATGTATATGCTTCTTTCTAACTTTTTGTTCTTCAAATTTCATTTATGAATTTGAAGATATAAAGTTTTGATAACACAGGTTAGTACTTCAATTCTTTATTTTTTTGTAATGTTATAAAATACAATCATTTTCATCACAAAAACATAGTGAAGTTTTTTACGAGAAATTTACGTTGGAAATATTGAGTTTTCGAATCAGCTTGAAATCGATGATCATTCGAAACCCTGATTTTTTTTTCGTTCTTTATCAATTATGATTTTATTTATTGAATTTCATTTATGATGAATGTTTTTGTACTTTGGATTAATTTGATTCTTAATCAATTTAATTGTTAGAAAGGCGCAATTTACTAATTTAAGACAAATTATATATATATATATATTTAAAAAAATAAAAATTATTGAACTTGTTTGTTGCAGGTGTGGTGAGAGATGGGTGCTTCAAAGAAATGGATGAAAACATTATTTAGTTTGAAGAAAGGCAATAAATCAAAGTATCCAGAGAATGATGAAAATGTTGGTTAAATTAAATTAAATTATTATTCTCTTTAATTTATGTATTTTATTTCGAAAAATGCAGTTTATCTTGACAAAATATAATTTTATTAATATTCAATTATATGATTCACAGAATTCTGGAAGTACCGGCAAGAGTTGGCACCAAAGGAGGGAGCACTCTGTTGAAACCGATGACGACGACGTATCCGAAAATGAATTAAATCAAAATAAGGTTACCGAAATTGAAGACGAAATTTGGCACAGAGGGGAGAATTCATTTCTTGATAATAATAATAATTATAATATACCCGAAAACGAGTTGTATAATAATCATAATGCGGTTGCTGAAATCGAAGACGATTCGGAAATTTGGCACCACCAAAGGGACCAGCACTCTTTTGTTGATGACAATGAAGCGCTTGAAAACGAGTCGAATCGAAATTTGGTACTTGAAACCGAAGATGCTAATTCGTTAATTTGGCCAGAAGGGGAGCGCTATTTGGTTGATAACGTTGTAATCGAAAATGAGATTAATCAAAATCATGTTGTTGATGAAATGATCGAAGATACCAAAGACGAACGCTCTCATGAGTTGCATTTAGAATCGGCGAAGTCACCTTCGACTTCACTTCGCGAGCAAAAAACGGAACTTTTTCGAGAGAGTTTGACGGATGAATCTGCAGCCATACATATCCAGTCGGCTTTTCGACGATTTTTGGTACCCAATTTATGCTTTTTTCTTTTTCTTTTTCTAGACTATTTAATCACTTGCTAGCCTTGTAAAAAGATCTGTTACATTCAACGGGTTTATTGCATTCAACCCCCCATATTTAATCTAATTGTTAAAAAGACCCACAAGTTATAAATATCTGCAAAAGAACCCCTGTGATGCATTTTTATTAGCAAAATACCCCCCCCCCCCCTAAAAACTCACCATTTAGGGGTTTGGTGCTAATATTTATAACACGGAAGTTTTTTAGCAATTTGATATAACACAGGGGTATTTACTCTAATATTTTCATGAATGATCATATAGTATGTCATAATATGATGCAAATATATATGTATAAGAAAAGATGAAAATTTTCATTTCAACGTATGTTCTATAAACGACGACGATCATAAGTTTCATTTTGCCGTTATTCTCGTAATTATTTATTTTGTTGTGCTTTAGGCTAGACGAGCTTTACGTGCTTTAAAAGGACTAGTGAGACTTCAAGCTCTTGTAAGAGGCCATGCTGTAAGAAAACAACGTGCCATCACACTACGTTGCATGCAAGCTTTAGTAAGAGTTCAAGCTCGTGTTCGAGCGAGGCATGTCCGAATGGCGTTGGAGAATCAAAATGCACAGGTTAAGCTTCAACAACAGCTTCAACAAGACGCTCGTGTTAAAAAAATCGAAGTAAGCCATATATATACACATATATACATATTTTTAATAAATACAATCATTTGTTTCCCCATAAATTTAATTTGTTGAGTGTTAATTAGGAGGGGTGGTGTGACAGTACTGGATCTGCTGAAGAAATTCAAGCAAAGTTGTTGAGAAGAAAGGCGGCGGCGGCTAAGCGTGAAAAAACACGGGCTTATGCTTTAGCTCGCCAGGTAAGCGAATAATTTCTTTAGCGATTCTTGAAAATCGCAAAAGTAATGTAGTAATTTAAACTTGTCATGGATGCAGTAGCTAAATAGGCTTAAAAAAATTGTATCTTTATGGTATTTGTGTGGATGATTTTCGATTAATTTTGACGATTTTTTTACGAAAGCTTATTTGCGAAAAATCACCGTTCTCTTTTTACTTGAAAAAAATGATTAAAAATGGAATCTTTATTATTATTATTATTATGATATGCAGTGGCAAGCTGGATCATCAAGGCAGCAGGTAATAAAACCTGTAACAGGTTTTGAACTAGATAAAGGAAACTGGAGCTGGAATTGGTTAGAGAGATGGATGGTGATTCGGCCGTGGGAAAATCGATTTCTTGATTTTGACCTAAGTGATGGAATGAAGACTCGTGAGAACGAACAAATTGATCGGATAATATCGGCGGAGAAGAAACCGGTTTCGAAAATTGGAAACGGGAAAACGGGTTCTCCTCGTTTAAGCAATTATAAATCGAACGAAAAAATTGTAAGGGATGGCTACAATTGTTCTTCTCCAAGCAAGTTGGGCAATGCAAAAGAATGTACTACTCCAACCAAACTTGTTTCGAGCAGGACTAGTTTTGGTTCGAGATCACAAAGCAATCCGAAGGAGAGATCAACGCTTTCGGATAAACAAGGAGCGAAACGACTCTCTCTGCCTGGCAAAGGTTCCTCTCTCTCTCTCTCTCTCTCTCTCTCTCTCTCTCAAACTCCATTCGAAGAAAAAAAAAACATTCAAGCATTACACAATCACTTTGAGTCAAGAGTCATATTTTATTGCATTTAGTACCCCTATCAAATTGTTAAGAAACTTTAGTGTTATAAATATTAGCAAACAAACCCCGTATAATACATTTTTTAGCAAACACCCCCTTAAAAGGTGAGTTTTAGGGGTAGTTTGCTAAAAAAATGAATTCTAGGGGTTTTTTGTTAATAAAAAATAAGATGGGAATTTTTTTAATAATTAGAGAATATATAGGGGTGTGAAATGCAATAAACCCTCGTTTTAACATCAAGTATAAAAAAACGAATTATAGGGCTTTTTTTGTTAATAAAATAATATGGGGAATTTTTTAATAACTGGAAAATATTTAGGGGTGTGAATGCAATAAGCGCTCGTTGTTAATAGCAAGTATTGAGTTTGAGTTGCTAATCAACGATTATGAACAGAGATTGGGGCTCAACCAGCGAGTCAACTCGGTAAGAAATCTGGTGTTAGAAATACTCCAGCTGCTCCAAAGCCCGTGAAGCCCAAAATTAGCTCCAAGTCAAACGGCGTCGTTAAGCCTACAAAGCCCGGCCCGTAGAATGAATGGAGTGTAAGAAAAGTGGTTGTTTAATCAAATGTTATTTCATGGATTTTGTCATCCATTGGTGGATGCTTCAGTTTGATTTGTTCCTAATTAACGAACTTATATATCTTGTGACTTATTTTAGGTACAATGTTACATATATGGTCCAAAACGAATGGAATAGGTAAATCATTTAGTAATCTCTCCACTAATCAGAATATAATCAAGACAATAAATTGTGATAAAGATTAAAGACTGCTTATTTGTATTTTGTGCAAGTTGCATCCCCCCTTTCTTACCAAACTTTGCCTGGCTAATGGCTCGTACTTTAAAGGCCTCGTTTGGTTGTCAAGATAAAATTTAATAATTTAATGAAAATCGAATAATATTATCAGATTTCGATATGTCCAACAGAAAAACTTTTTAGTCGACCTGACAAATTATTGGAGATACCATAGATCAAACAAAGTCTTATTATTTAGTTAATAATAGCTAATTTCCATAACCAAATGAGGCGTAGGAAAATAATTAGACAATCCAGATTTGACTAAAAACATTTCTTAGCATTTTTTTTAAACGACTCAAATGCTGAAACTTGGTTTAAATCATTTTTTATTTGATGGAAACAATTTATCTACATATAGTAATCTCTTTTTTATATAAAATAAATCTATTATTAAACTTTGAAAAACAAAAAAATAACACAAAAAAATTCTCTCCCTTTCAAACTTGTTACAATAAAATATATTTTCATTAAAAGATAAATAAACATTAATTTATTTTTTAAAATTCTTATTTTATAATATATTTTTCAAATGTATTTAGACATGATTTCACTCTATTGTGTGTTATTTATTCTTCTAAAATATATGAAAATATAATTTCATTTTCACGCCGTTAACTCCGTCATCCTCTTCTTCCCCACCTATCTGACTTCCGCCACACTCGATCCTCCCTCCCTCCTCCCCCAAAACGTATATACTCTCTCTCTCCTCCTTCACTCTCAAATCACTACACCTTCCAAATTCCCAATTCCAAACCCTAGAACCATTTCCGCCACCGCATCTCCGCCACCGTAATGAAATCCCCTTCACCTCTTCCCTAGGAAAATTCAATCCCACCATATACATTTCTAATCAACACACACAAATATAGTGAGAGAAAATAAATAATTAGTGTAGAGAGAGAAAAAAGAGATCAGCTGACCGCCATAGCCATGATCTCCGGTTCGCCGTCGCCGCTAGTCCCAGCCCTAATCCTCCTCTTCTCAATCCCGATTCTATTCTACTACATGGCCCCAAGCATACTCCCTCCCCGGCGAATCTCCATCTCCGCCCCCGACGAGCTCGACGACCTCTCCCTCTTCCACAAAGCCATCGCCATGGACTCCGCTAATTTCTCCCGCCGCCCCACCCGCCTCCCCTCCGCCAGATCCCACTTCTCCACCTCCCTCCGCCGCCCCAAAATCGCCTTCCTCTTCCTCACCAACTCCCCACTCCATTTCGCCCCTCTCTGGGAGCGCTTCTTCTCCAACGTCACCCGCAAGCACTACAATATCTACATCCACTCCAACCCCTTCGTCAAATTCGCCCCCTTCGAAGGCGTTTTCGAAGGCAAAACCATCCCTTCCAAGAGAACCCAACGCTCTTCCCCTACCCTCATCTCCGCCGCTCGCCGCCTCATCGCCACCGCCATGCTCGACGACCCCTCCAACGCCTACTTTGCGTTGGTTTCCCAGCACTGCATCCCTCTCCACTCTTTCAGTTATTTTTACAATTTTCTCTTCGATCTAGGTAGATTGTCGAGGGACTTACAATTTTCAAGCTACATCGAAATTCTTGACAACGAGCCCACTTTATCGGATAGGTACGATGCTAGAGGGAAAGATGTGATGGTCCCCGAGGTCCATTTCAACGAATTCCGCGTCGGCTCACAGTTTTTCGTGCTTACTAGACGGCACGCTCTAATGGTGATCAAGGATAGAAAGCTGTGGAGGAAATTCAAGCTGCCCTGTTTGAATGTGGATTCTTGTTACCCGGAGGAGCATTATTTCCCGACGCTATTATCCATGCAGGATCCAAACGGTTGTACCGATTATACATTGACGAGGGTTAATTGGACCGATAGTGTTAACGGGCATCCACACACTTATCACCCCCCAGAAGTATCCGCTGAGCTGATTTCAACGCTTAGGGAATCGAATTCTAGTTACTCCTATATGTTTGCGAGGAAATTCTCGCCCGATTGCTTGAACCCTTTGTTGGAAATCGCTGATTCGGTTATCTTCAAGGACTGATCTTTCCCTCTGGTAAGTGAAGATGATACCTTTTTTGTGCTTATCATTCTTTTCATCGAATAGTAGTTTGTGAAATTGAATAGTGGTTCGTATTTTTGGTAATGCGATCCCACACAGTTGGTCTCGTAATTATCCTTTTTGGGTTGCTACCTTAGGTTTATGAATGAAAAGTCATTTCTTCGCCTTTTTGAATTATTTTGAATATCCACTCAAATTTGGCGAAAGTGGCAATGTTTCATTTCGAATGTAGGATGTATGTATTTGTTTCTTGCTGCAATGCTTTGTCACACGCGAAACCCCGTAAGAGTTAAGAGTTAATTGATTAGATTACGTTGTCTGTATCTTAGGTAACACATTTTCGATGTTATTCTTTTCTTGAATTACTAGCATACAGAAGAGTCTTTATGGTTCCTTCCCTTATTGAAACATGCTCCTTTGAGATTGTTTGTTTACCATACTCAATTCTGATAATACTCGATTGGAACCTAATTCTATATGTTCGAATACGATAACATGTCCTTGTTCTTGTTGCAGGGTCGAAGCAGGAAAATGTCGATAAAGAAGAGAGTATTTGGAGTTGACAAAGTGGGATTAGGTTTTCGAGTGGCTGTTAAAATAAGATGCCCTAAACCTAAGTAACCCAATGGAGTCCAACTCAAGCAAAATCAAAGATATGTTATTACAAACTCATGTTGTACAAATCCTTTTTTTGTTAATGTTGTACATATATATATGTATGAATGTGTGAATGTTGTATGAGAAAGGAATAATTGTAATTTTGTTGGCTTAGCATAATGCTGATATGCCAATTCCCATTTTGCCCTTCTTTTGAAAGTATTCTCATGCTGTTTTTTTTTTCTTTAAAAAAGTAAAAAGGGCATTAAAGAAAAGCAAAAGATATGAATATAATCTTCTTTTTGACTCTTTTTCTACGATGTTTGGTTTCGTTTCCATTTCATTTTTATTATTTACTGGAAAATAGTACTTGTTTGTTAAGCTTTTTTCAAAAAGAAATTCCCACAACAATTTTAAAAGCTTATCTCTCTTCTAAATATGATTAAAATATTGACTGTTACAGTAAAAAATGTATTCACTAAACAAATATTACTTTTATTGTCAAATGATTCCTTCAAAACAATTTCCCCCAGAATAATGTCCAACTTTGACATTGGGTTATTCCATTGTTCTCATAATCTAATTCTTGATTGTTTATTTATTTATATAATTTGATGCAAATAAGAAAATGTTATTCAGTTTCTTGAAATTGAAGCGTACATTTAGTAGATGCTTTACTTAGATATTACTTGATACTAAAGAACAAAGAGAGGGCTAAGTATTTGATCTTATGGTGTATTTGACTTTATTCATCCAATTGCAATAATTATTTTGCCCAAAAGTCTTGTCTGTTTAATTACTTGTAAGTTGGCCCCTGTCTATGTTGGTAAGGATAAATGTACCCTATTGATAAAAGAAAATTAAGCCCAAAAAAAAATATTAATATATAAAGAACAAATGTACCAAATTTCGACGCACTTTGATGTTTTATGTACTGTCGGTGTGAGGTTTTATTTACGTTAAATGTCATTTCAACTCTACTAATACTATTTTGACTTCGAACTTGATTTTGGCAAAACTCGAAAAATGAAAGCTGTAGCCCTTTGGGTTAGCCTTCTAATCCAACTGAAATCAACTAGATCGGATGTCTGTGTGATAAAATTATGCATTAATGAGTCACATTTTGAATTTTAGATAATCCAATGCAAATTTGTGGGCAATATTTACTGATTAATGTATATCTTCCTAAGAAGACATTCAATTTTGGTGATTCAAGTTGGATTCGAATACTAACTCAAAAACCTACAAATTCTATGTTTCGGATTTTGCAAAATTTGGAGTAAAAAACGATGAAAATTGCGTTTGAAAATCGTAACGGAATTAATAAAGTTCGACCGATATTTATCACATCCTTTTATTTATTTATTTAAAAAAAACAAAATTATATGCTTGTGGATCAGAATTCAGAACCTAATCAACCGCACCTAATCACACACACGAGAAATATAAACATCACTTTCAACATTTGCATTATTTATTTAGCTTTAATAAATAATTAGATAATTAGATACATATCCTATAAAGAAATTTTCTAATAAGTAGCCAACCGTGTCCAAACACGTGTCCATTTATTGTCCAAATTCTAAGTCAAAAGTTGTTATTCCTTTTCCGTGTGCTATTACCTACTAGATTATTGACCCACTTTTCCAATATGATCTCACATAATATAATATATATTTAAATTACAAATTTGTCTAGGACAAAACTTAAATTGTACCAAAGCCATCATGGTATTTAATATTTATTATTAGGATATTTATATTTGAATTATTTATGTTTTTATGTAACTTCTAAAACTTTATAAAAGAAAAAACGAAAAAGAAAAAGTACTTCCTATGTTTTTGGTTGGGCAATAGCAATTTAAGGGGGCCCACAAATAAATTGTATGAATTAGGTCAATTTAACTAGGGTGGTGATATACGCAGGCCAAATTAAACATTCAGGCACTTTTTTACCATGGTTTTTTACCTTTTTACCACAACTATTTACCTTTTGTACTATTCCTACCAAATCCTATAAAAAAAGAAAACTCAACATTCAAAGTGAAAAATTTCAGATATTCAACAATTTTTGCGATGGATCCAAACAACTTAGACCCGAATGTAAGTTTTTCGTTTTTTTCCCGAAAATTCATCTACTCGTGTGAATTTACGTGAGCACTTGCCAAGTGCTCGCG